TATTTTAATCTATTTTAATCTAATTAATAAGTAAAAACTCCCTGTAACAAAATACACAAGCTTGTTTATAAAAATGTAGGTTATGTTTATTAACACAGAACATAAGTAGGTAGTTCATTTGACCTTTTATCCCATAGACTTTAAGGACTTAGAGCCGGTTTTACTATCGTTGGATTAAGTTAGCTTATTTGGCGGATAACTTTCATAGAAACCTTCTATCTAAGAAAATTATCCACCAGCGAGCTTATCTAACGATTGTAAAACCCAAAGATAAAGAAGGTAAAAACGACCTTTAAACATTTATGGTTCACCCACAACTCGATGCGCCATCTGGTGGGTGTCTCATTAGAGGGGTCACTTTTCCTATTGAAATTGGGCGAAGTTGCAAGACCTGTATATAAGACCGTGAACTAACCTCATTTTGATGTTTCGCTCACATAATAAAAATCCTTGGTAAGTAATTTGAATAAATACTAAAACCAAACAAATAATATTTAAGATCTGATTTTTATTTTAGGATAACTTGGCTGAATGGACTACCAATAATGTGAGAACATAAGCTACATTGCTATAAAATACATTGTATTGTTGTTGCTCTCCAATAAAGTCCTATAAATTAGCAATGGTTTTTAACGAAGTAGTAATAATAATAATGGTGTTATAAGTCAAACACAAGAGCAAGGCAAACTCTTTAAAAAAACTACGATTACAGTGTTCAACACTGAACCCTAGTGTACATTAACAAAAAGGTTAAAGCACAATTTCTTGTGAAACAAAAATGTAAGTAATAAAATCCAAACCGTAAGGTTACAGGAGTTATGCTGAGTTTATGATCGCTTATTTAATTTAATTTTAACTGAGAAAATACTTTAAGCTGATTAGTTAAAATTGGCCATGCGCACAATTTTAACCAATCAACCAATAATCAATGTATTTAATTTAAAGTTAAATTAAATTAAATAAGCGATCATAAACCCAGCATTACTGTGGGGCAAATGTGTTTGGTAGGCGTTGAAGTATTTGTTCCCAGATTTTTGTTTGACCTCGCAATAATGCCAGTTTGTCCTGCTCATAAAGAGCCTGCCTTTGGCTTTCAGCTTCTAATAATTCAAGTTTTCTTTTATAATATTTCTTTTTAAATCGTATTTTGTCCTGACAGACGAACTGTTTTTTATAGTTTTCGTTTTGGTTCTGAATAAATATTTATGAGGCAGTGCTCTGAACGGTAGCAAACTGAAATATACGGAATAATAATTATAATATCTACAAAAGTACTAATTTTATAGATATTATGATTATTATTCTTTTAAAGTAACCCACATTTCTTACACCACTAACACCTTTACCAACCGTCAAACTTTGGTCCCCAATTCCCGTTACTTCACCCTTTTGGTTAATATGCACAATACCTTCTTTCCCAACAACACCATCGTTTATTATTACCTAAAAATATTAAATTTGGTTAATAACGACATTGAAATGAGCAGTTACTGCTACTTTTTTTATAGCAATACCCCATTTGTTGTATTTTTGAAGGTAAACACCACTGCTGATTCCAAAATGTTTGAGTCTCCAGATATTGACTCTCCTGGCACAAGAGTTAAAACTTTTTTCTCTACAGCATCTCTAAGGTTCCTGGGAGTCCTCCGTCCCAGTTCCCTTGCAATACTTGTTTATTTCAGACTTTTTCTTTTTTACCGTTCTCTTTAAATCCTGCCAGCACTAACATGTAAACATATCGTATTCAAAACTGTTGAAGTTGATGTTAAAATTAATATTTAAAATGGGTGTCGCCACCTATGATCAATACTGCGAAACAACAATATATAAATAAGAGATTTCTGCTTTATCAACACAGAGAAAAAGAAAAATTAATGTAACGCTTTTTACTCAGAAATGTACAATTTAAATAAGTAGCTTTTAAAGTTAAATAAACAGTTTAGTTAAAGTGTGTTGTTTATTGCAAATCATACAAGGAAAACCCATAAAAACTACAAAATATTTAAAGGTTTTTATTTAAAAAGACCTTAACCTAAAACGTATAAAGTTGCCTAATTTCGGATAGTTCTAGTTTCTCAATTTCGGATATCCGAAATTAGGAAACCAAAATTACAAACCAAAGAAATTCCAACATTAAGCGAATATAATGTTTATTTTCAGAATAAAATGCCAAAGTGCAATACAAACCGTCAGAGCCAAAGAAATGGGATATCTAAAAGCCTCGAAATTTTTTGGTGTTCCAAAGTCAACATTAGTAGATTATGTCAAGCAAGTTGACAAACTCCAGAGCAGTTGGTTGCTATGCGGATCGGAAGAAAGCCAGCACTTTCTATTGAAATGGAGGAAGATTTAGTGTCTTATTGTTTAGAAATGGATCGAAGATATTATGGGATAGGCATTGCTGATATTAGGAAACTTGCTTACCAAATAGCATTAAAAAATTGTCTTCGTCATCCTTTTTCCAAGCAGAACGAAGTTGCCGGAAAAAAATGGCTGAAAGGGTTTTTTAAGCGTCATTCGGCTCTGTCCCTTAGAAAACCACAAGGGATCTCAAAATCCAGAATAAAAGGTTTCACTCCAGAAAATGTTAATAGATTCTTTGACCTTTTTGAACCAGCAATGGAGACGATCAATTATAATCCTGCTAAAGTATATATCGTTGACGAAACAGGAATAACAACAGTACAGTCCAAAAATTCGAGAGTAATAACTTTGAAGGGCAAGAAGCAGGTTGGAGCAGTTACTGCTGCGGAAAGAGGAGCATTAGTGACAGTCGTTATGTGCATGAATGCCACTGGTGGATTTGTCCCACCATTATTTATCTTTCCCAGGAAGAACATGAAAGCCGAGTTGCTGGATGGAGCCCCACCAGGTTCGATTGCAGCTTGCAATCCGTCTGAGTGGATTCAGCAGCACATATTTTCCCAATGGTTGCAACACTTTATTTCTCATGTAAAACCGTCTCGTAAAGATCCAGTTCTGCTTATTCTTGATGGTCACTACAGCCATACGAGAAATATGGATGTAATAGATGCCGGACGCAAAAACCACGTTACAATTGTGTGTATTCCACCCCACACTTCGCACAAGATGCAACCTCTAGATTTATCATTCATGTCCCCTTTAAAGACATATTATTCTCAACAAGTTCAAATGTGGCTGAAACAAAACCATGGACGCAACGTAAACGCTTTTCAAATTTGTAAGCTAATGTGTCCTGCATATTTAAAAAGTGCAACTGCAGAGGTATCTGTTAACGGTTTCCGCAAATCTGGGATTTATCCCTTTAATAGAAACAACTTTTCTGAGCATGAGTTTATAACAGAAAGACAAAGAGAAAGGACCCCACCAGTAGAAACAATTGAAAGGCAAAGAGAAAGAACACCATCAGCAGAAACAGTTCAAAGCAAGTTATCGGAAAATCCAATAAAAAATATCATAAGAGCAGAGGAGATTAGTCCTTTACCTTCATGTAGTGGAATCTTACAAGCAAATGGAGGAAGAAAATCTCGAGAAGGCTCTAGTTGGGTAATTACCAGTTCGCCATATAAAAAACAGCTTGAAGAAAGTTTACAGGAACAGACGCGAAAGAAAGAAATAAAAGAAAATAGGAAAAATGTAAAACTAAGCTCAAAATTAACAGAATGCCATAAAAAGAAGACTGCATCAGTATAACCAAAAGGCAATAAAAACAAGTCTGTAACACAAAACAAGAAATAAATAAAAGTTCAGTGCAGTAGTGATGAGTCATCAGATTCTGAAACTAGTCTTATTCTAGACGACGATTCCGATATGGATCCGAATGATGAAGAGGACGCAGAATGCATATTTTGTATGGGTTTGTAATCTGAGGATGGACAAGGGGAGGAATGGATAACATGTAATAAATGTTTTAAGTGGGGTCATAAACTATGCGCTAATACCGATAAAAAAAAGACATATATATGTGACTTTTGCTTGGAATAAAACTGGCGTCTTAATTTCGGATAGGGTGTCCGAAATTGGGAGCCCATTTTAAATTTCGAAAAAATTGCACCAAATGCAAAAAGCTCTTTTTTTTTTAAAACTTAATAAAATAAACATGTTTTAATATTAAACTTTGTTTCTTTATAGTGCATTGCAATGCATTGAGTACTTGCCAGAAGATGAAGCATACAAAAAGTATTTTTTTCAATTTTTTTAAAAAATGTATCCGAAATTAGGCACCTTTCCTTCTATTTTGGCAAACTTATTCGCTGTTACTGGTGTAAAAGAAGGGGAAAAGCCCTTTCATTAAAAAATTGCTTAGATGGGGGCGCGCATGCGTCGTCTGCTCGCGCAGTGATTCGCTGGATAGGTCGAAGGTGTCAAATCAAGTGGCCAGCGCGATCGCCCGATTTGACCCCTTTAGACTTCTTTTTATGGGGACATAGATTGTGTTAGTTTTCCAAAATACCAAAATCTCATTCTGGGGCAAAAACCTGCAAAGATTCTGGCGCCGCCATGCGACAGATTTTGGAACAACAACATAGGCTAAAATATTGCTAGAAAACTAACATCATTGACGTGTTTTAGTGTTTAAAAAAAATGTACCGTTTTCAAAATAATCTCATGTTCCGGGACTTAACGGACACACTGTATAATATATAATATATAATATATAATATATAATATATAATATATAATATATAATATATAATATATAATATATAATATATAATATATAATATATAATATATAATAGATAATAGATAATATATAATATATAATATATTTTATTATATATATATATATATATATATATATATATATATTATATATTTATATTTTTTTAGTATTAATCGTAAAATAAATACCTAGTCAAAAATAATTTTGTTTTTATATTTGTACAAAAACATTTAAATAATACTAATATTTGTTTTGATAATTTTAAATGCATATGCATAAAGGAATAAATAATTCAGTTAAAAAGCAAGTAAAAAAATATTATTGGGCATAATCTTTTGCTGCAAATTACTAAAATGACTATAGCCTTATTCGTAGGCACTATTTGCTCGATTTTGGGAGCAGGTAAGTTGTTTTTATTATTTTTTTCGATATCAGCTTCTAAAGTTGCTTTTCAACTACTTAAAACCGTAGATAAAATAGTATTTTGACAGCAAGAGTAGATGAAATCGTCATATCCCTGCCAAAAGTCACTAACATTTTATTATTGAGCTTCAAGATAAAATAAATAAGAAAATAAATATATCTATTACATTAGTTTATAAACTATAGTGATTTTTAACTATGAAAAAACCATCATTTTTATTATTCCTAGCATCTAGTGGCTTTTAAATATTAAAGATATGGTAAATTTGTGTAGTTAAGTACATAATATGTAGTGGCGGCTGGTGGATTTTAAGCACACCCATATCTCAATTATTAGAAATGGGACCCATATCAAATTTATATGAAGTTTATCGACAAATTTCAAATTTTATTATAAAGTTATAAAGTTATAAAGTGCTCTTTTAGTTCCACCCTTACATCCAAACTAAGATGTCCCATAAGCCAACTGAATGGCTTGTGCGGGTTAGGGGTAGGAACGGACCGACGGCTTAAAGTCCCCTCCGAAGGACTATACACAATGGACAAACACAAATAAACAACCATACCCAAGTGGGATTCGAACCCACGACCTCTCGGCTCGTACCCAGGAGCAAAAAATCAAAATCAAAATCAAAATCAATATATTTCTAAATTAAAATAATTACAAGTCATAAAAAGGGTATATAATAAAAGGCCGCAATGTGGTGATGTGGTTGGCTGTAAAGAGGCGCGTGGAAGTGTGGTTCCAACTCTTGAGCCTCCCTGCGGTGAAGATGCGTGGTACAGGTGGTAGCAGCGCAGTCTTCCGACGGTCTTTGTCCATTGTATTAGCCCTTTTTATTAGCATGGAGCTTGTCTGGCCTTTTCTCGCAGAGCGAATGTGAGGCCAGCTTGATCCGGGTAGAAGAATAAAGTCTAGAAAAATTTACGGAAAAAAGAATGGAAAGGAGCTCTGACCACTACACCACCGAGGCCGGTGTAGTGGTCAGATTAAAAATTTCTATTTTTTTAAATTTATTAAAAGAAATAATAAAAATTTAAAATGGTATAATTCCTGAATTTTTTTAATAAAATTAGAAATTTGTCGATAAACTTCAGTGAATTAAATATTGTACCACTTTAATTTGAATTATCTTAATTTGGGGGAACAGGAGGCTGGGGGGGACACTTAAAAACTAACTTTTTTTCGCAAACTTCAATTTTAATTCTGCTTGCGCAAAACTTGTCATTATAAACTCATAAATTTGATGTCTAATAACTGAGATATGGGTGTGCCCACAATCCACCAGGATTGTGGTGTGCCCAAAATCCACCAGCCGCACAGTAGGCTAGAGCGTGAAGAAATTCAAAATAAGTAAGTGTTTTTGAATTCTTTAATATCTGTAGATAATGAAACATCTTAAAATCACCTTCAAATCTGTTGAATTTTTATCAGGTAACCAGTCAAAGTTAAGGAATTATAATTACTTGCTTCGTGTTGATAAATTGCGCGTGTAGGTATTGCTTCTCTTACAATGTTTATTATTAATTTATTCTTACTTTTTGACTATAATTTTATTAAATACTGTCATACGTTATGGCTGGAACGAATAATGGTAAGTTTTTATTATTATTGTATTGTCACTACCTTAATAAAGTAACCGCTGCATACTTTTAATAAATTTATGGATATTATTAAGGTTTTAAAAAATGTCACGCACTGTCACACTATGTTTAGGTTTTTTAATAGCTTACCGTTCTGTCTTTCAAATAAATCTTAAATCAAGTGCTAGTATTTGCAATAAATATGGTTTGTTTAATTTTTTCAGTTAATACATTATCCCTAACTCATACGGAGCTTTGTAAAAAGTGTTTTAGTTTGAATCATTTCAATATAAAATTAGTTTTAAATTACTAAGTAGACTACGCATTTACAAAAATTGATGTATCTTGGAAAAAACTTAATTCAATTTTTTTTAAATAGAAAAACGCTGAAAGCCCAGAAGAAATATCATTGTATTAAATATTGTCAATGTTGTGACAACATTGTTGTCATATGTTGGTGATGGAAACCATCAATTAAAAAGCTACTAATTACAATAAATAATTTTGAATTAATTACTGATACTATTAGTGAATATTAATAATTTTTGCCACCACCGCGGTAGGCTAGAGAGCGCTTCCAGCGCGCGAAAATTTAATATGAGTAAGTGTTTTATTTCGACAAAATTTAGTGAATTTTGAATTCTTTAATATCTGTAGCAAATCTAATAATGTTATATCACCTTCAAATCTGTTTAATTTTTATCTGGTAACCAGTCAAAGTTTAAGAATTATAATTACTTGCTTTGTGTTGGTAAATTGCGCGAGAAGGTTTTGCTGCTCTTACAATGTTAATATTTATTTTTAATTTTTGACCATCATTGTATTTAATACTGTCTTACGTTATAGCTGGAATAAATAATGGTAAGTTTTTATAATTATTGTACTGTAGGGACAGTAAAATAATTATAAAAACTTACCATTATTTATTCCAGCCATAACGTAAGACACTATTAAATACAATGATGGTCAAAAATTAACACATGTGTTTTTAATAGCTAACTGTTCTGTCTTTTAAATAAATCTAAAATCAAGTGCTAGTAGGCGCCACAAATATTTTTTGTTTGAAGCATTTTAATAGAAAGTTGGTTTTAAATTACAGTAGCCTATGCATTTACAAAAATAAATGTATCTCGGAAAAAACTTAATTCAAAATTTTTTTCAAAAAATATAGAAAAACGCTGAAAGCCCAGAAGTAATATTATTGTATAAAATACATACATACGTAACAATTAGGTTTTATTTTATTATATTGTGGATTTGTTTTTCTATTGGTGGTAAAAAGTAATTTTTATTAAAATTTCATCAATAAGACCAAAAAAATAAACATTAACTAAGAATTACCTAACCAAATAATTTCTGCGCGTTAAATTGGCTCTCTAGGCCACTGTGAGCCGCCACTAAGTATGTAAAAGTGTTGTATATACACTCACAGGCAAAATAATCGATCCACACAAATCGTCCCCAAATTCACGAAGTGGCGTATATGAAGATTTAAGTTATACAAAAAGCAATTTTCTGAAATAAACGTTTAGCATTTTAAACGTTTATCCCAGAAAATTGGTTTTTTGCAAAACACAAAACTTCAAACACCCGTATCGGAAGATTTGTGTTATGCAAAAAAGCAAATTTTTGGAATAAGTGTTTAGTATGCTAAACTTTTATTTAAAAAAATTGCTTTTTTGCATAACTTAAATCTTCATATGTATATGTAAAAATTTCTCAAGTGGGCCACCCAAAAACCCTTCAGTCAAATTTTTTGTTCAAAATATATTTTTTGGGTAAAGTTTAAGCACCTCCACCGATTTGCCCAAAAATTTGTCTAAAAAATTTTATTTTGTCTCAAACATTAATGAACTAAGTTTTAAGACACATTTTTTTAAAAAAATAATATCTCCTAAAGTAATGCATTGATTTTTAAAATTAAATCACCAATTAATTCAGATTTTAACGTAGTTTCGATAAAAAAAATTTATAACCTTCAAAATTTGCATGTTTATATATTTTTTAGGTTAATATTTATGAAAAATTGTAAAAAATTGTGTTCTTCATCGAAATTTGTAACGAAAAAAATAGTGTATATAAAAGAAACCTTATTAAATAGATTTGCGTTTAGAAAAAAAATGAATCTCTTCTAGAAATGGAGATATAAAAACATTTATAAGGCGGAGCGCGATAAAACGGGTCGCCGCGACGACCCGCGCGGAGCGCGCCCATTTTGTTTGATGCGTAGGTATGTTAGATTTAATTAACTAAACAAAATCTAGACTCAAAACCAAAAGGCGATATTTGACAACTGTCAAAAACGTTTAATACTTAATATGTAGTGGGCTTTGACGTCCTAAACTTAAACCCTCGAACTGTCATTTATTCGTCAAAATATAATTCGCTGGGTAACAGTGTTGTTGTAAAGTCGTTATTGATAAGTGTTTAATTATTAAAATACAATTGTTCAATTAAGTTTTTGGTAAATAATTATTTAAGGAAGAAAAAGGGTAAGTTATTTCTGTAAAATAACAGCTTAAATAACAATTTAAGTATCTAGTAGATCTTAAATACATTTATTTCGGTTCCTATAAGTAGGATATATAATTTTATTGTGTGAAAAACAAAATAAAATTAAATGATTACACGTATACGTATAATAAAAAGTAAATATAATAGGCGTTAAGTATTAAAGTTTCAAGCTTTGCAAGACTCAAATATTAAATTTTAATTTGCTAAATTTAAATATTTATATAAACTTAAATTAAACAGGTGATCGATCTTCGCTTTCCTTGTTACTATTAGAAAATGCCAACCCCAAATTTTTGCTGCAACCCAAAAAATAAGCCAAATCATAATTGGAAACTGGAGTAAAGTTTTTTTAAAGTTGATCGGCAAATATTTGTGTGACTCGTGCAGACTTTCAATTTATTCATTGAGTACTTTTCAATGTAAAAGTGAATATACTCCTAAAGAAGAGGAAGATAATGAAGATTTCGAAATAAGAAGAGAATCAATTTCGGATAACGAAGCTGACGACTCTTCTCCTGATTATATATTAAGCAATGAAAATCCTAAGAAAAGGAAAATTAACGGTAAACATGAGGCTCACAAATACTGAGAAACATTGTTTTGTAGTTTTGTAAAATTAATTTCTAATCAATCACAAAATTTACAGATCCATCCCAGAATCAAAGCCCAGTTTCTAGAGTGTGGATAGAGGAAGTCAAAATCGTTTTATCAAATGCAACTTCCAAAGCTGAAAAAATGAGGATCCTTACCACCGTGCCAAGAGATTGGAGTGTAAGAAAAATTCACAGAGAATTAAATGTCTCTCGACGAGCAGCGTGGAACGCGCAAAAATTACGAAACTCTCGTGGGTACGCATCTTGCCCTGATAAGAAAAAGGGGCGGCCATTAAAAACGGACGTTTTAGAAAAAATTGAGGATTTTACACATCGGATAAATATAGTCGAGTTATGCCTGGTAGAAAAGATTACATCAAAATTGTCACAAATGACGGTGCACGGAAACAAATACAGAAGCGGTTATTACTGCTTAATATTAATGAACTGTACGGGAAATTTTGTGCAGAAATTACAGAAGTGAAAATAAGTTTGTCTGCATTTACAAAACTTCGCCCTGGTTGGTGCATTCCTGTCGGACCAAGTAGAACTCACAATGTATGTGTTTGTCGAATTCATCAAAATATGAATTTAAAGTTTGTTGGACTGAATGACTATTTAAAAAAACGAAGTGTCCAATGTGATCATAAAGTTCGTGACATTTTAAAAAGTATGGTGTGCGAAAAATCGGCTGAAGCGTGTTTTCTCCTTGATTGCAAGAACTGTCCCGGCGTTTCGCCAATCATTGAAAAATTGTCACAAATTTTCGATGATCACAACATTGAAAAAATCCAGTTTAAATCATGGACGAGCACAGACAGGTAAAAGGGCACAAATATTTGTAAAGTTTAAGGGTTTCTAACGTCACAGTGCAATTATTATAATGTCTGTCTTCATTACAGATGCGAACTACTGTCTCTCTGCCAAGAAAAAGCTGATTTTTTTAATGGAGTTGAAAAAGAACTTCCAGAGCTTTTAAAACATGATTACATAGCAAAAGCACAAGCAGAGTATCTTGATAACTTGAAAAAAAATCTTAAAAATGGGGAGTTTGTCATTACCTTGGATTTTTCTGAAAATTTTAGTTTTGTTATTCAAGATGCAATTCAGTCTTTTCATTGGTCTAACAACCAAGTTACGATACATCCCTATGTTATTTATTACAAAGAAAATAATGAAACCCTTCATCACAATTTCGTAATTATTTCGGAAAGTATGAAACACGATTCAACGGCAGTGAATTTATTCAATAAAAAGATGCTGAATTATTTAAAGGAAGTTCATGGGGAAAAAAATGTAAAAAAGTTGTTCTTTTTTTCTGATGGTTCCGGTTCCCAATATAAAAATAAGTTCAATTTTCTCAATCTTGTATTTCTAATGAAATCTACTGGTATTAATGTCGAATGGAATTTTTCTGCAACATCCCACGGAAAAAGTGCCTGTGACGGTATTGGCGCGACAGTAAAAAAAATGCTTATCGTGTTAGTTTGCAACGACCTGAATATAATCAAATTTTAACGCCCAAGATTTTTTATAATTGGGCAATTAATTTTTTTGAGAAAGTTTCTTTTGATTTTTGCACAGAAAACGAACACGATCGGGAGCATAAAGCTTTAACCTCACGTTATAAGAAAGCAATTACAATAAAAAATACGCGCCAGTATCATTGCTTTAAACCAAGTGAAGACGGCAAACATATCATGTGCAGAAAAATTTCATCGTCCAATGAATATAAAACATGTGCAATCAGGAAGTAAATACTTGTGCAAGTAAACTAATGTATATGCAAAAAAAAATTATTAATAATAATTAACAAATAAAGAGTTTTTTTTAATAAACACGTTTGTTTTTTCGATTTTTGAATAACAACGAACTTCGAAGCTTGAAGATAACGCGCTCCGCGCGACTACCCGTTTTATCGCGCTTGCCAGTGCAGCGCGCCGCCTTACAAATGTTTTTATATCTCCATTTCTAGAAGAGATTCATTTTTTTTCTAAACGCAAATCTATTTAATAAGGTTTCTTTTATATACACTATTTTTTTCGTTACAAATTTCGATGAAGAACACAATTTTTTACAATTTTTCATAAATATTAACCTAAAAAATATATAAACATGCAAATTTTGAAGGTTATAAATTTTTTTTATCGAAACTACGTTAAAATCTGAATTAATTGGTGATTTAATTTTAAAAATCAATGCATTACTTTAGGAGATATTAATTTAAAAAAAAAAAGTGTCTTAAAACTTAGTTCATTAATGTTTGAGACAAAAAAAAATTTTTTAGACAAATTTTTGGGCAAATCGGTGGAGGTGCTTAAACTTTACCCAAAAAATATATTTTGAACAAAAAATTTGACTGAAGGGTTTTTGGGTGGCCCACTTGAGAAATTTTTACGTATACGCCACTTCGTGAATTTGGTGACGAAATTTTCGATGAATTTCAATCGCAAAAAACTTTTTTAATTGATTTCGGATTTAAACAAATATTAAAGAATATTGTAGATACATTAATGGAGAATCGCTCACATTTTAAAAATTACTAAAAAATACACGTACGTTTATAATATACAGGTTTAAACAAAAATATGTTTTTTACCATAAGTTTAAGACACTCTGTAGAGTGGCAAAACCGTAGGTATATTGTTCTATTTTAATTATGAAGTCACATCTATTTTTGACAGTTTTGTTTTTGGTTCACCTTGATATATTTATTTTTGTGGAAGATATGGATTTTTTTAAAAAAACATTGCAATTTCCAATATTTTTTCTGTATGAAGAACTAAGGTTGCAATGGTCCATCCATAGCCTATGGAGGATGACAGATTGACAGCGACAGTTTTGTTGAGTCATCCCATACTTGGACATATCAAATAAAGCTTTCAAAAGCTATCAAATTGTTTTTTGTAAATTAATGTGTTAATTTTAAGGTGTTTTCTTACTTTTAAAAATGTCTCCGACTGATGCCCTTTGTACTTTACTTATTGTGACGTTTAAAACACTTGCCAAGTAATACTGTGACCGTCCATCCGGAATTAAATTAATGGCTCTGGCAACATCAGTTGGAGACATATCCATTTTTTAAAGTAAGAATACCCCTCAAAATTAAAACATTAATTTGCAAAAAACAATTTGATAGCTTTTAAAAGCCGTGTATGACATGTTTAAGTATGGGATGATTCAACAAAACTGTCACTGTCATTCTCCATAGCCTATGGATGGACCATAGCAACCTTAGTTCTTCATACAAAAAAAAAAATGGAAATTGCAATGTTTTTTTAAAAAATCCATATTTTCCACAAAAATAAATATATCGAAGTGAACCAAAAACAAAACTGTTAAGAATGGATGTGACTTGTTTTTGTTTTTGTATCTACTGTAATTTTGTTATTTGAATGTCCTTTATTGTGAAAACTGTGGGGCAATAAATAAATTATTATTATTATTATTATTATTATTATTATTATTATTATTATTATTATTATTATTAAATAAAACTTAATTAAAAACAATATACGGATTTGCCACTCTACAGAGTGTCTTAAACTTATGGTAGAAAACATATTTTTGTTTAAACCTGTATATTATAAACGTACGTCTATTTTTTAGTAATTTTTTAAAATGTGAGCGATTGTCCATTAATTTATATACAATATTCTTTAATATTCGTTTAAATCCAACATGAAATAAAAAAGTTATTTGCGATTGAAATTCATCGAAAATTTGTGTGGATCGATTATTTGGTTGATTGCTATTTTATGAATTTTTTTATTATAAATGTTATCAATTAATTGTGGATTGTATCCATTATTTACAGCTATTTGTCTAATTAAATTTAGCTCGTATTTGAAATCGTTGTTAGGCGGGGCTGTTATAATGGTTACTTTTGCAATAAAAGTAGAAAATATATTTATAGTATATTATTATACAAGATATAATATTATTAACAAGGATGAGGTTAACCCTTAACCACCGTCGTCCGGTCATGATGACCGCAGCCGAATTATGATTAGTGTTTATTTCACCCCAGCCTCAAGATAACGCCTACAGCGTCTTAATACCTTCAATCGGCATTGTTACCAGTATAGTACTGCAAGCAAGCGGTGGTGCATCAGTTAGATTACTTTTTATAACCAATTAAAATTTGCGATCGGTCACTGTGACCGCACGACGGCGTTAGTGTACTTTTCTGGTTCGCATAAACATTAATTTACGATAATGGCTGATCAACCTGGACCGTCTAAAAAGTTAAAATTAAATGAAAAAGTGAGTGTATTGGATCCAAAATTTGAGAAAACATGTTTGAAGTGGTATGAAGGGGATCAAAATGATTTTTCTGACCAAGATGCAGTGCAAAATTGTGCGTAAATTGCAAACAAAATTTGTAACTTTTGAAGCGTGTGATTTTTGTTATTTTCTTGAATATTTCTTTTTTTTTTGTTTTTGTTACAAAAAGTCAACTATTAACTTGGGAAAATTAGTATTATTTTGTTGATATTTTTTAAATATTTTTTTATATTGAGTAATAAAAAAATATAATTCGATTTTCCAGCATAAATGCTTACCAATGTAAACATACTTTTTTTTGTGTTAATAAATTTTTTTTATTTCATTACTTTATTTTTTTCCTTTAATTTATATCTTAGTGGACTCACCTATTGCATAAAAGTTTTAAAAAATGGCAAATGAGTGTAAATTAAGCTAAATAAAAGGCAGCGGTCACTGTGACCGTACGGCGGTAATAGGGTGATGAATATATGATGTCGGTGGTTAAGGGTTAATTATCCGAATGAATGGTTTGCTTTCAATCCAATCAGGTAGTTTTTATGAAAATATACTGTCGGCCGGTTCTAACCTTACTTTCTTCCAATTTTAAAGATTATTATATTTTCCCTCCTATATATAACAAAATTGACACGTCAAACAGTGTCTATCTTACTTTCCCCCAATTTAAAACCCGATTGGATCAAATCACAGTGAATAATAAAATCACTGATACCTTAGAAACGATAATAATGATTTCATTGTTTTCGTTGTTAGCGGGGCGGTTAACATTGGATGTTTGATAAAATGTCAAACAAAATTGGCTTTAAACTGAATTAACATTACTTTGTGTTCGTCGCAGACAAAGTAATATATTTAATTCGTATTATAATCTTCTTTAAGCTAACATTTATTAAAACTCGTATCGTAAGCTACGCTCGTACTTAATTAAACTCGTGACTTAAATGATGTTTATAAAACTACATACCAAATTACGTTAATTAAAATTTCAGTTCCCATCTTATGTCCAGAAGAAGCTGTAGTGTATTATCATTTATATACAAGGTAAAATAAGCTATAACAATATTTAAAATAATTTAAACCTTTTTTTAGAAATAATTTAGAAAATGCCACACAACTTTTTTTAAACAATGATAATGTGTTAAGTGGTTCATACATTAATTTTACAAATCCAACAAAAATGTATGTTTCCGGATTTTTTGGTTCATACGAAAATGCTGACGCACAAGAAGTAAAAAACGGTAAATACCTATATAAAATTATATTGACATCCCCGCTTAACCCTTCATTAGTCGCACTGTTTTCTAAAACGCCATTAGTCGCTTTGGTGTCTGAGACCGAAAGTTAAAAATTACGTTAATTAAATATCTTGTGTGTATAATTAAATAAATAAGAAAAACACTATGTTAATATTTTTAAAAGTAATATTTTTAATAATTAAACATAACAAAATATCAATATAAGATCAAAAAATTAGTATAATTCATCAGTAGAAACATTTTGTTCTGACTCGCTATTTTCTTGCCTTTCCTTTAGGAAATCTTCTTCGTCCTTGTCTTCATCGTCATTAAAATTACTTTCATTTTCAGAATCTTTCTCTTCCATTAGTTTTTAAAGTCGTTGTTGGTCTGCTATATAAGAATACATAGTTAAATTTTATATACCTTAATACTCGCATCGGTCTCTCGCACCTAAATAAATTCTTTAAGCCGCTAAATCATACTCATGCGCCAACGCTTTCAGACTTAAGTGCGAACGGCTAATTTAGGAAGGTACCTAGGAGGGGATAGCGCAAAGTCGATGCGCTTAAAAAGTACGTTAAAAAATTTAAAGCGTCGGTCTCACACACCGGGTGCGACTAATCAAGGGTTAAAATACCTCATAGAGACCTATACAAAATAATCTGTCGGGCGCTAACGGATTGAATATTTTTATTTGTCCATTACCTATAGGCACACCATAACTTTTACATTTTCTCTATTGAGACCGATAGCAAATAAATCAATGAAGGATATAAAGGGATATCCCTATAGAACAACCATAAAACATTTGACAAAATTTTATTAAAACCTATGGGGTCATATGGGGGAAAACTAATTTCTACATTTATGTGTATTTTCCCCATTGAAACCAATAGCAAATAAATCAAGGGTGGATATCCCTATATAACAACCATAAATCCCAACTATGGGTCCTATACATACCGATACACCCTATAGAAAAACCATACATTCCGATAAAAATATCTATCGGTTTGAACAAGGTCTCTATGGGGTATTTTAAGCAGGGATAGGAATAATTAATCGTCTCTACTGACAAAAAAGTAGTAGCCAAAATTAAATTAAAGATTTTAAAGCCAAAATATGTACCTAATCGTTTTTGCCTTTAAACTTTTTTTACTTTTAGAGATTTTTTTAATTTTTTTTTTGGAAAAATGGTGCTACTACTAAACATTATTGTAGGTTCATTCATTTTTTTAATATTTTTAAAGATACATTTTTTTAAACCGTATCTTTATAGGTATCAGTTTTGTTTGTAATACCTAGTTAATAATAATTAACTTTAAATCTGATTCAGGTCTAAAACAAAATTTCTTTGTTAAAATAATATTACTTTTTTAAAATAATATTTTCCTGGGTATCTTGAAAAATTAAAAATAAAATAGTGTAGACTGTAAAAATTCAAAAAAATAGATAATAACGTTGCTTGTGAACCTGGTGGCACCATTTTTTAAGTAAACGTTTTAACAAAGTCTATATCTTAAACATTTGTTTAATGTTACCATACTAAAATAACAAAACTTTGTTTTAAGCCTATTTATATACTGAGGATTGCAACATGATTTTGGTAGATTCATCCCAATTGTTAACATTTATAAACCTTAATTTAGGAATTTATCTTGACGCACATCCTGTAGGCGTAATATTAGCAGAGTTCATAGACTATTTAATAACCAAAGGTTTGAAATTGACCGATTTGGAACTCATCGGTATAAGTTTAGGAGGACAAGCCATTGGTATAGCTGGGGCTGCGATTAAAACTGGAAAACCAGCTAAAATTATAGGTTTGTATGATTGTAAATTGATCAAGTTTTTTACAAATAAATCTCTTACATTTTATTGGTATTTAAAGGAATGTTATCTTAATTTTATTAAATAAAGCATTTTGAGTTTTATAGCCTATGACCCTGCCGGTAATAACTATAATTCATATCCGCCGGAAAAGAGGCTTGACGAAACAGATGCACAATTGGTCATAGTAATTCATACGGATCCTCATATGTCGGGTTACAACCAGTCCTGTGGTCATGTTGATTTCTGGATAAACAATAATTCAACTATTCAACCTGGATGTACAGATGTCACAGAAGTTATAGCTAGGGGGCTTTTTGATACAATATCCTATGGTTAAAGATTTCATTAAAGTCTCAAAAATTTTAATAATTAACAGAGGTTTATTTTTTAGTTTTTTGCAGTCATGCGTACAGTTATCATGTAGGTGTATATGCTGTTTATCATCCAAATGCGTTTCCCGCTTTAAAATGTACGAGTTACGAAGAATATGCAAACGGGCTGTGCAACAATAACGATCTCCAATATGTTGGTGATCAAGTAACTGCATCGTAAGTTTTTTAATTTTTAAGGCATCCATACGGGTGTAGATTGGCAACCCCAAAGGTGATTTCCTCTTAAAATTTCAATACCAATTATGCCTACCAATAAGAGCGCAGTACTGCGCTCTTAAACACTAGTGTTTCTGCTGTATCGGACAAATTTAAAAAAAATCTAAAAGAAAATTCGTTTTAAAATTTTGGGACACCCTGTGAATTGATTTACATACAAAAATTCTAATACTTCGTGATTAAGAGTTCTTAATTAAAAAAATATTTTCTTTCGATTATTTTGCTAAAACACAGAAAAAACGCCAACATAGCATGAATGGGTGAGCCATTAAACCAATGGTACGGCTTGTAATCCGTATTCCTGAATAACAGTTCCTATAATACCAATAGGTAGTTAGCACTTGGTTTATAATCGTTTACTGTTTTTAAATTAACAACAAGTTATCGCTCCTAAATCTATTGATATTCATATTGCTATTTATTTGTTAGAATGTGAGAATGTTATTGCATTAAATACTAATTTGATTTATTTAATAACGTTACTATTGTATGTATACTATGTATACATTTAACGCAATAAATTCTTTGACATTTAGGCAAAATATTTCCCTATTTTGGTTTAATAGTAATTAATTGAGCAAATAACAATTTAGATTGCTTCAATTTTAAGGCATTCAATGACAGCGCTGTTCTTGCTACTATGTTAGATTTTTTTCTGTGAAGAGTTTTTAAAAACAATTAATTTATCGCACATCTCAAAAGGGTACGTAAATTGGTCCCAGAACAACCCAATTTTATTTGCATATCATTAGGGGTTATACAGGGCCTTTAATTAAAATCTAGCCACCCTTAATAACTTTTGAGTTACCTATAATAAATATGATCTTGAACAAAAAAAGATATCGAGAGACAAATTCAGTGTTTTATGTTGCACCCTCTCACCTAAAGTTACCCTTACTAAAATATTTTACATGGCACCCTATACCTTGCGACACAACATTTTAAAGGAAATGGAATTTCTGATCCATTGATAAGTTAAAAAAAACTAAAATCATTGAGAGTTAGAGCCAAAATAGGTGTGATATAAATAAAACAAAGAATTCCATAAAAAAATATATTTTAAATATTCAAAATGAGCTCCGTTATTTGCTACACAATAATACCATTTGTTCTTAAACTCTTGTTGAAACGTTTTAGAAGTTATCTGCACACGCCCTTCAATTATTCTTCGTTTGAGTTCTTGAATGTTCTCAGGTGGTGTTTTGTAGACTAGAAAAAATCAAGTATTAAATCTGTAGATCTTGCCGGCCATTCTTGAGAAAATTTTCTAAAAATCCATTTTATGTAAAACGTTTGGTTCAACCATTCTCTGGTCAGAACCGTCTTAAGATATTCAGAGCCCGTGGGCTACTAAAAATAATGCGCCCTTCTTCATAAGAGGAGTTAGTGGAAAGGGTTATATAAGTTTACATAAGTGTCAGAACTAAAAAAAGTTAATTTATTATCTTACACTAAATAAAAACATAAAATTCATACAAAATTAAAAAAAAAAATAAACAAAATAGACTTTATAGTAAACAAAAAATAAAAGTACCTAACTAAACAAAATTCATACAAAATTAAAAAACTATGTGAACATAAACAAAATTTATAGTAAACAAAAAACAAAAGCAACTTATACATATACTTATTTTACTAGCTTTTTCTTTTGCAAACTTATTTGTTATATCACACCACCAAATGTAATTATTATAAAATACCCATCTTATGTTACAAGTCAAAATTAATACGTCGATTAAAACTTGACTTAAACTAAATAAATAACGTTGCAAATCCAGTGACATAACCTCCCTTTCGAATGTTGACAAATTTAAAATTTAATTACATACATTTATATATAATCATTGACTTATCATAATGCATTATGCACAAAGATAATAGATTATCTTTGTATATGCATATATATTATATAACCATTGAGATATGTCTATGTCAGAGATATGGAGGTCCATTATGAATATGATATCTCTGGTCTATGTATATAACACACTGTGTTACACACATGACATCATGACATGACATGACATGACAACAGCTGTTTTCTACAGAATTGTCTGTCAATCAGTATTACCAACCTGGATGTTTTCCTTACTTCTCCAGGGAATTTTGTCTAAAAGACAAAAACTTTAAAACTATCGATAGTGCGATAGTGCGGTTTTCTTTCGAAAACTATCGATACATCGATTTTTGCATTCGATAGTTTCCCACCTCTAGCATGCATATAATATTTTCTATTTTATTTAATTTTGGATAAGTACTACTTATTAAGTACAGGTTATTCTTTTATTTTTTTCTTGAAAAGATTTTCAATAAAAATAGTATATTCTTAATAATAACAAAAAATATAACATCAATAATAATTACCGCCCCCAAAAGTTTGCGCCCCAGGGCTGTAGCCCATTTAGCCCTGTGGTTAGGGTGGCCCTGTCTCTGTTAAAGCATAGTGAGGAGGAGCCCCATCTTATTGAAAGTACAACGAAAATATTTCAAAATGAGCCTACAATTTTTTACGTTGAAAGGAAAATTACAAGTAAGTATTGGAAAAAAATCTAATAATTAATATTAAATCATGTTATATATATTTTTTAAGAAAAACTATATTTATTAACAATGGGCGATTGAATATTTCCAAATCGTTTGATTTAAACATCATTATCTCGTAAACTATTATTATAAATTGAAGAAAATTTCAGAGAATATTAAGCAATGAATTCAATGGAAAATAACCCTTATGGTGCTATTTACAATTGTTGCTAAATTATATTATTTAATAAGCAAATGCCGATTTTGCCCTGTTCTCCACAAGGAATTTGATATTTTTTGTCAAGTATCTACATTGCTTAAAATATCTGTGGTGTAAAAAGTAATCTTAAAATGGTGTCAAAATCCAACACCAAGTGGTGTTAATATAACACCATGAATTATGGTTGAAAATGTGTACCGATCGCGGCAAAGGCGCTATGTTCTTAAATCTCGCCTCTGTTGACTTACATGAAGAATATATAAACTCAGGTAGTCCTTTGCTTTGGTGTGACACTACAAGTTGTTCGATGCTAAAGAGACCTTAAATAGGTGGAAACAGCTGTCAATACTTGAAGTATTTTAAGTTAATGGAACGCACTAAAAACATTATCTCTAGCGAGTTGAAGGTTCCATTTTCTGGAATAATACCACTGGTAATATACTAGTACTGCGTCAAGGAACTTCCTGTTTCCTGTTTCCTTTTTTCTGTGTAGTATGATTTAATTTGACTACAAACACATAATATTTAACACTGTGTGAAAGTTAAATTAACACCATTTTAGTATTTGAATTTACACCGGACCAACGAACCATTTTGGTTTGTATCGGTATAGACCACGTATGGTGTTAATTTGGTGTTAAAATGGTCATGAAATTTTGAACAGTGTACTGGGAGGACTAAACGCTTAAGATTCGGAAACCGTTTTAGCTTTTTTCTTCTTACTAATAACAAAAATTAAAACACAATTGTATCTGAAACCCGCTTCAAAAGTGTCCCAAATAAAAACAGCAATTTTGAGATTTTTTTTTACTTTGACACTTTAAAGCGGGCGCGCGTTATTATTACACTGAGAAAAAAGTTTATTGCTCCCAAATAAAAAAAATATTTAAATATGGGACAAGGGTACAGTTTATTTATCCTAAATATATTTTTATTCCCGACACATAAAGTTTTACTAAAGTATATTTATCGTTATTATTTCGACTATTTAGAGGTAATAAACAATATATTTACTATTAATAAAAGTATTAGCTACACAGTTTATTTGTCCCATTTTTTTCTCAGTGTACCTGTATAAGGGTGAATCCCACGAAATGTTCCCCGATGGTGTTACCCCGTGATATTTAATAAAACTAAATGAATTTGACCTACACTTTTATTGTGTTTTGATCTTTTATAATTAAGTAGATATTACAGTTTAGGTTCCAGATTTTTAACGGCAATTAATTATTTTTTACAATGTTTTAAAAGTCTAAAACCTATCCTCCGTGACTGTTACTCTTTTTAGGTTAATCTATATGTTTTCAAATATCTGAGGTAGTAAAAGCATACTAAAAACATCAGTTCATTAATAACATTAAACATATCCAAAGCAATCGAATCAAATATAAAATATTATTAAAAATTAAAAGAAATAATTTTTATAACCATTTATGTAGGTGTTAAATCTGTTTTTGCTTTAAATTTTATGCAACGGATGGCACTTTAATCATTTTAAATAAGCAAAAACCTCTGTTTACGACATTATAGATACCTACATGTGATTCCTGAAGGTCAGTTAAAATTTATATGCGGATGAGTGTGTTGCTGTTTTATAATTCAAAAGTTTAGGTTTATTAATTTGCTTTTTAAAAACCTATCCACCATGAAGTGAAGTAGATTTTTTATGTATGTACAATTGTATTTTTAAAAAATATTAAGGTGTCAAAAGATACAATAACTTATTTCAAATATAAGGGATGTTAAAAAAACGAAATCCTAACCTCCGTGAAGCTTTCTTCTTTAAAGCTGTAATATTCAAAATGTATGATTTCTTAAAATTCTTGCATTAGTGCATGGTTCTGCAGAACCACTTTTGTTATGTAATTACTAGACCTGGTGGCTTCCCAAAAACCCCATTCTAGACTATGTAACAGTAAAACAACCAAAAATAAAAATAATCATTTTCACTTGGGGGACATCTCAATATATTCACCCATAAATGCATTTTAATAATTTTGTTACAGGTAAAGTCTTTCACATTAAAAAAATGTAAAACTTGATCTAGCGTAAGTTAAGTTCAATTAAATAAAAATTATTTGAAAAAATAATAATTGGAAGGTAGGAAATTAATTGTTGCTTAAAATATGTTACATTAGTATTAAAAGCGCTTGCTGCCAATTTAACTTTCTCTTACCATTTGTTACACTTAATAATTGCACCCACAATCCACACAACACATTGTGTGGATTGTGATTGCACCCAGGCCATCCCTATATTTATAAATTTTCGAATATAACGGAAATTTGCAGTGCAAATAACATTCCAACCCTGTTACCCGCCATCTTTTCGTTCGCACATGACATCACACGGTGCAAGCGAGATATCTACTTATATGTTATAACATGCTCATCACCGATTTTTGTGTACCGTGATTGTTAATACAGTGCTTTCAGAAAATATATAGCATGATAATGCGAAGGTTGTTGCTTATTGCATTTATTTTTTAACCTTCTCCGAATTGTTCATGTATTTTTACAAATGGAATACAGGAAAAAGATTTTTTCTACTAACTTACTAGAAAACTTAATTTTCCCCTTCCGAGCGAGGGAGGAAAATGCCACTTTTCCTCCCCGGGAGAAAAAAAAAATCCTCCCTCTTTTTTTTTAAACAATTTTACATTATCAAGAGTTTTTGTACCTTGTCTAGTCCTATTTGATTTTGTAGGAAAAAGATTTACTCCGCGCTTGTCCAACCATTCTTTTTACAAACTATAGGTATTCATTTTCATATCGCTCTTTCGATTTTTAAGGAAGGAAATTAATTGCAACTATTCTTGCCTGTTTAGAAAGATCTTGCGGCAGGTCTTCTTCGCTAGAACACATTCTGACAGCTTATAAAAACTGTTATGTTGATATTACCAAAACTACCCTAGAAACAAAGCGTTGTCAACATAACGTCGGCGACGCAACACCTACTTTATATTTTGTCATAATTTTATAGCTCTATACCGGGTTAGTAAAAGGAACCGGAACGCTTAAAATGTCTTAAAACTGTTAAAAGGTAATAGAAAAAAACTATATACATACCTCAGGAGGAAAATGCGTTTCCTCCCTTGAATATTTAATGCCCGACGCGACTATTCGCGGGAGGAAAAGCACTATTTTCCTCCCATGGTATGTAAATAGCTATTCAATCAAACGGTGCAGAAATGTTCAATCGCATGATTTTTTTTTTCAAAAAAATTTATTACGAGACTTTATATCAGTAATGAGTAGGTAGATAATTTTGCATTTCTTGGTTTTAATTTTACTCTCAACGTCAAAAATCGTAGATTTTTTTGAAAAATTTCTAGTCTATAGCATTATTGTGAGTATCAGAATTTATAAATTCTGCTAAATTTTGCTATAAACATAATTTTTTTTTAGTTATTAGGACAAAAGATTAAAACCATTTGCAATTTTTTTTAAATCCAAAGTTGATTTTTATTTTTCGGATGGGCTTATTTGGAAATAAATTTATTGTGTTGAAGGTGGAATTAAAGACTTTTTGGCCAAATCTGCAAATGACAAAAGAATCAAACATTAATTTTTGAGGCTTACGAATACGCGTTCCAATAAACAAAAAAATTTTAAAACAGTTTTTATGTATTCCTGAATTAAAAAGATAATTTGGTAGTACCTATACATATATTTAAATTTGATCACATATCCTCCTTTCGACTGTAAGCATGTTTTAAAAATTATACTTACCATAAAACTATTATAATTATAAATAATTGTTTTCAGAGCACAAGGGAATTACTACGCCAAAGCCGGTAATGAAGTTTATAACCATTAAAATTATAATATATTATATATGTATACATATTAAACATGTACAATCATAAATCTTTGTTAATTGTCTTTACAATAAACATATTGATAATGTTATTAATTTATTTTTTCTAATAATTAACAATTTAATAAAGTTAATAAAAAATTTTGCACTACATTTTTTTGTTAACCCACTGATTTTGAAATAAAAAGTTTGGACCTAAAATAGATACTATTTGTATTTATTTATAATAGAACATTTGTTAGTGCCACATTGTATCATTTCAAAATGTAAATTGGTAAAAAAATTAAAAAAAGACTCTTCAGCTACAAAACTTTGTGAAAAGACTTGTAACCAGATAGTTTTGGTTGCGAGGTTGTAAAGCATTTATAAAATTACTAAATACGTCTCACTGTGGGCCAGAAATTCTCTAAACATTGAAAAAGTCAATTTTTAATAATCATGGAACAACAAGTTTTTTATGCTAAAAACGGTCAAGTAGACCATTAAGCTTACAAAAACACCAGAAATATGTCCGTGAGTTTTTATATGTTGACACACGCGGGTTTGACAAATGTCGGTAAATTTAATACTTATTGTCTGGTTTATTTTGTTTAAACAAATCGCTTAAGTTTAAGACATTACAGTTTAAGGTGGATTAACTTTTTGACAGAAACTATGAGTGGGCCAGATGCAGGCAAGTTCAAGGTTTTATACCATTTAAATTTTATGGATTTCTTTGCGAATTTACAAAAAAAAAATAATGATTTAGTGAACGCATGTAAAAGCAAAAATTAACATATCACATGGATATTTCACCAGATATATATCAAGATCGACAGTGAAGTACACGTTTTTGTTGATGCTCTTAAACTCTCCAGTACTTAAGCTTTATTATCGAAAAAAAAACTTTTGCCGAATTTTGCCTATCCAGGAGAAAACGCAAAATTTTCTGTGTGGTATTTTACAATTTGATTCAAAATAAAGCTCTATTCGGGTATTAGTTGAAAGGTTATTAGGCCCAGATTGTAAAAGACTTTTTGAATATGTGATCTGTCATTTTGAAAGTTTTGACTTTTTTTTCGAAATGATATATTTAAGGCAATTTTAGTGTTTTTAATTGATTTTTATTTTTTTTTGTTTAATCGTTTGAGCTGTGGAACCTATAAATTGGCAGTAATTTTAAAATACCCTGAAAACAAGAAACATTTATTATTAAAAATCAAAATAGTTGAGTTTTTTTTAATATACATAAGAAAATTTTCCCCAACCCAACCCAACCCATTTGTTTGCGACTCAATCCTGTAAAATATTTATTTATTGTGCGATTTTAACCGGATTTGTTTTAAGGTGTAGATCTTGATAAACTATATTTTTGGAGCAAAAAATGCCATATTTGTACAAAATACAAGGCCTACTATGACAATTTTTAAGAGTAAATTTTTAGGAATTCATATTAGCAAGTTTTTTAAACAAAATCTAAACACGGCACTGGATTCACCACATGGCACTATTACTATAAGTTTAATTTTATTTCAATGTTATTTTCATGGATAACTTGACAGAATAAATTTTTGTAGTTAATATTATGCATTTTTATACTTAACATTTTTCAATAAAATTTAGTATAAGGTCGTTTCGAGGGGTGGTGAATCCAGTGCCGTGCTTAGATTTTGTTTAAAAAAATCACTTATATAAATTCTTAAAAATTTACTCTTAAAAACTGACATAGTAGGCCTTGTATTTTGTAAAAGTATGTCGTTTTTTGCTCCAAAAATACAGTTTATCAATATCTACACTTAAAAAAAAAATCCGGTTAAAATCGCACAATAAATAAAGATTTTACAGGGGTGAGTCGCAAACAAATGGGTAAATAATGTTTTTCCATAACTCAGCTTTTTCAATCTTATACCTTCGGCTTTGTATCGATTTTTTTAAATTTAAAATATAACATTTTAAATAATTTTTTTGCATAACTCAGCTTTTTCAAGCTTTGTTTCGATTTTATTGGGGCCATAAGATGTCTATGAAAATCTATATTATTTCTACATTATTTCCATTATGACATCCTATATCTTCTATTACAAAACACAAGATCTTCAATAAGTTTTACAATTTCGCCCTGGTGGGTAAAGTTTGCAAAATAGCCAAATATTGTTAAATTTTACTCTGGTCTAACAATATTTCATTGTCTGAGAAGCTGTTTATAAGTGAAATTAACTTATTTTTCTTTGTTTTTGATAATTACATTATAAAATTTGATACATTTGTTGAGTTTGATATTTTTCAATGTTTTACAGAATCCTGGCCCACAGTGCGTCTTAACAAAGTTTAGCAAGTGATTTGTGATCCTTTACCGAAAAATGAATTAAGCGAAGTGTTCCCGAACGTATCTATTGCTTACCGGATGTTTCTTTCAAAGCCAATTGCGAACTAGGAGGCAGAACGAAGTTTTTCAAAGTTAGCGCTAATAAAAAATCCTTGCGGTTAACAATGGGACAAAAAAGAACATTCAATCTTGTGTCATCCATTGAAACCGATTTGGTAAATAACATAGACTTTAAAGACATTATAGAAGATTTTGCGCTGCTCAAGGCGAGACAAATAAAATTGTAAAAAAGGTAAGTGATAACTTTTAAAGCACGATATTTTTGGTATTGGGATAATTTTAGCAAGTTTTAAGGGTTAAGAGTTTTATTATCGACGCTTAAAAAATTCTTATTTCCAAGAAAATAGGGGCCTCATAATATCAAATAGCCCCGGGTCTCCATGTTGCTTAATTCGGCCCTGGGTAGCATTCCTCGTCCAATATTTTTTTTATACAAGAATATTAACAGATAAAGTTTCTTTTGGCTAAAGTACAAACTAAACACCAGCAGCGTCAAAAAAATTTGTAAAAAAGTATTTTGAAACTTATCTAAATAATAAAATTATTTTACCTTTAAATTATTTTTTAATTCTCTATCTACCAAAATTTCTGCATTTATGTAACTGTTAAAACCAGGACATTTTACTTTTAAATTAATTATCCTTAAATCCTTTGAACTCTAAACATAGGTTGAACAAAATAAGCGAAAAAAAAAACGAAATAAGCCGAATGTGATTAAAAGTGCCCATTTTATGAAAACTTTCCTAGTAACCAACATATTAAAAAAATATTAAATTCCACCTAAACAAACGATTTTCAGGGGTGACCGTTAAGGGCCCGTATCTCCGTAGATGGGGCCGTAGGAAAAAAAATTATAGGAAGGAATTGTAGGAAATCCGGGAGATTGCCCACATATTCTGGGACACCCTGTATATTTTAATCTTGACTTAATAAAAGTGCCTATTGAACATGGTTCAGTCGCATGCATGGGTCCAATGATAATAAATTATTATTAACCATTCAAATATTTTCAAGAGATAACAGCTACTACATATGTAAAAAATCTCACCTCAATGCAAAATAAATAAAATAACATAAAAGTCAAAGTATATTTGTAAAAAAAAGTGTATTACGTTGGGGCTAATGGAATAAGTCCAGGGAAATGTGGTTGGTATGGGTTATTCATAAGTAACCATTCCGCCAAATGCATAACAGGATCTATTGGCTTTACTTTAACAATTTCTGTTAACCCTTTTAGCAAAGTTTCATTAACATGCAATGATAAGTAGTCAATAACTTTTTCTTCGTCACACAATATGGGCTCCAAAATACCTAAAAATTGATGGTTTTAGCAAGAGATCTTCATTTTCTCTTAATTCGCCGCCTAGATCGTGTGATTTATAGCCAATATTTATATTTATATTTTACTTTGAAATTAAAGCCGCTAGAACAGTTAATCAGATTTATTTTCTTAAAGTATCTGATTTGATTAAATATTTAAGTAAGTACTTACTTCTTGGAAAAAAATATCGGTTTTCATTGTTAGACGCAACCAAATTCTCCGAAGCATGCAATACGTCGGTCTTATCGTCTTCTATGCCAAATCTGGTTCTAACGCTATATGGAAAAAACCATTCCTCCCTTAAAACTCGATAAGGGCCTACCATTTGCTTCCATCTTTCGATGGCATTAAGTCCTGCTAGAACAAGTACCATGAGTGGTCCTATGCTACAACTTAGTATGATGTGCGGGAACATGTAGCTGCCATATTGTTGAGCATAGATTTCAGATACTTGTTCTGGTGTTAGATGAACAAGTCTTTTCTAAAATCATAAATTATTAATGATGTTAATTTGTGATATCAATTAATTATAATAAAACATTTCCAATCTACAAGTCATTTCTTTGGCCCAATCTGTTCAAAATTTACCCTTGCTTTGGTTAGAATAAAAATCAAAACTTTAAATTTATCTCTTTATTGTACTATCGGGGTAATTATTATCTTTCCATTATCGGTCTTATTTGGTTTAAAACAGATTTCGCTGGCAACGCCTTGGGGTATTTATTGTCTTTCCGCTAGCGATTTTATTTCGCTTTAAAAAAATTTCTACGAACCCTACACAAGGAGCCCAACCTTAATAGGGGAAATTGACGAAACCTGCCCTCTAAATTGCACAAATTAAGTCTTTATTTCACCACCTTTCGGCGCTGATTGTCGATGCGTACTGACGTCTGCTCTTTTGGTAGCGTTTCGGTACAAATCAAATAATTGTTTACTATTAAACGGAACACCAGCGCCCTCTTATTTTAGGAAGATTCTTGTTTACATGAAGTTTGAACTTCTTGTGTAGGCTCCATGGAAATTTCGCTGGCCACGTTTAAACACGCCCGGTGGGCCCAATTACCCAACTATCATAATTAAAGATGGGATATTTAGTTACTAAAAACTGAAAAATAGGTTCTAAAAAAAGCATTTTAGGTTAAAAAAAAACAGCATTTTAGGTAAAAAAAACCATTAAAAGTTTAAGTTTCGTTTATAATTTTGTTTAGCCGCATACCCAAACACAGAACATACCCACAATAAACTATTTCTCTGCAATAAACTGTGTTTCACTGAGTGACACTCACTACACAGAAGTTATATGGCAGAACATAAGCTCACTACAAAGAAAGTAACTGTAAAGAAAGTTACTGTTACAGTCTGTGACCATAAGAAAAAATTCTATAGCGTTGAGTTGCACGCCCTGGATAAAATATTATCGGGAAATTTAAAAAGAACACAAAAAAATAAAATAAGTAAAAATACGTAAAAATAGATAACAAAAATGTGAAAATAAACAGACAAATTAAAAAATATGTAACAAAAGTATAAAAAGGTAGTTTAAAGCGAAAAACCTCCAAAAAAGGTAAAAAACAAATTAAAGAAATAGGTAACAAAAGTATAAAAAAGGTAGTTTAAAGCAAAAACCTCCAAAAAGGTAAAAAAGGTGAAAACAAGTTAGGTTCATATAAAAGAAAATCTTTTAAAACACATTTTGGCATTATTGGTTTTCAAATAGTTACATCGGTTGAAAAAAGGTAAAATAACTAAAATCTTATCAATACTTATAATAATAGTTTTAATAATAATAATAGTAATAATTAATATTATCGAAAATAACAATAATTGTTATATTTAATAATACTATAAAAAGCAATAATAAAATGTATTAAAAATAAACACAATTATGTGGATATAAAAACAACTTTGTTGTAAAGTTTCACGAAATTTATTAAATTTTGACAGTTGTTTCGCTACACATTAGCTTCTTCAGAATGTATTCTGAAGTAGCAAAACAATTGTCAAAATTTAATAAATTTTGTGAAACTTTACAACAAAGTTGTTTTTATATCCACATAGTTAATATGGAGTTTCATTAAGTAAAGGTCGAAACAATTAATAATTGACAACACAATTATTTAATTAATACTTTGTCATTTCACCTCCTGCAGCTATAACAGCATCACATCGGAACTTCATTGACAATACCAAATTGTGACTTTATTATGTACATATTTTTACACAAACTATCTACTAACTTAGCTTCACAGAAAAAACGCTAGCATAGCATAAATGGGTGAGCCATTAAACCTATGGGATCTTGTAATCCGTATTCCTGAATAACAGTTCCTATAATACCAATAGGTAGTTAGCACTTGGTTTATAATCGTTTACAAATCTATTGATATTTATATTGATATTTATTTATTAGAATGTTAGAATGATATTGCATTATATACTAATTTGATTTATTTAATAACGTTACTACAGTAAGTATACTATGTATACATTTAACGCAATAAATTCTTTGACATTTAGGCAAAATGTTTCTCTATTTTGGTTTAATAGTAATTAATTGGGCATTCAATGACAGCACTGTTCTTGGTACTATGTTAGATTTTTGTGTTGTAGTTAGCCGGAGCCGATGTATTCAAGACAAAGAATTAGGACGTAGTGGTCGACATCACTCGCACCGTACACTGAGAAAAAAATGGGACAAATAAACTGTTTACCTAATACTTTTATTTGTAGTGAATATATTGTTTATTACCTCTAAATAGTCGAAATAATAACGATAAATATACTTTAGTAAAACTTTATATGTCGGGAATAAAAATATATTTAGGATAAATAAACTGTACCCTTGTCCCATATTTAAATATTTTTTTTATTTGGGAGCCATAAACTTTTTTCTCCGTGTACGTATACGACATGAAGTCGAGCGGTTCATTTGCGAATGGTTTTAAAAAATGGTATCCTCGACAAATCTTCGCGATTGAAAACGTACACGACAAAATTAAACGAGTGGTTCATCCGGCAACACCGCATGTGTTAGTTTATTTGCGTTTAATGTAGTGGTAGTTACCAGCTTTGACAATGTCAAAGCTAGTATCTGAAAGTCAAATTGACATTATCTTGGACATTGTGTTTGTGTTTATATTGTTTGACATAGAAATATAATTTATACAAGTGCAAAGCCCGTCTACAACAGTTGTAGCACAGTTACTGTGCTATTTGTATGTAACATGATGGACATTAAAAAAAAATATACCACTGAGAAGCAAAAGAAAACTTTAATTAAATTAATTTAAAAAATGAAGCATTGTAAAGTGGAAAATTTTCAAATAATTTTACGTACAAGGACGCCCAGAGGAAATAGGAGAAAATTGTTTGTACATCTAAATCTGTGGCATGATGAGCATGAGATAACCCAGCAAACACAACCGTAAAGGTTCTGTAATGGCCCTTTAAACGCGTGCCTTTAATAAACTAAAGGCCCTATAAAGGCTGACTTTAATGGACCTCTACATATTATGTCGCGTTCACCTTTTATGGGCATGTAACGGCAGTCGATAAAGACACTTACAAGAACCGCTAAAGGTTTCGATATGGCAGGTTAAAGGTACAAATGAGGCAAGCTAAAGGTTCTTATATGGGGTGTTAAAGATTCTATAGTGGTTAGTTAAATATTCTTTAATGGAAAAGTAAAGTACCTATTATGTCGGATTAAATGTGGTACCTACCTATATATTTACTAGGTAAGGATATTTCATGATAATTGAAATATTTTATCCCGACCGATTTTTGACGGTAGGGATAAAAATTCCCGATTATCGTGTAATATCCGACCTAATAAATATATACCTACCAAATTTAATCCACCATAATAGATAGGTCTTTACTATATAGATAACAGTCGGGACAAAAATTTCGTTATCATGGAATGTCCCTAAAACTTTCAAAAAATTAAAAAATACAAAGTGTTTAATGTGTTATAAAATACATGTAATTCAAACATAATTATAACATAACATATTTAATTGAAAAAAAACTTAACAAATCGTCACCTGAGAATTATAGTGTTCTATCTGCATTTTCTTTTTTTTATTCAGGTTAGTCTTGTTTTAAGTATTAAAGATGGATATTGTTCTATCCATATATAATTGGGGTAGAAATTGTACAGTTTAAGCCTTAAACTTTACAATTTCTACCCCAATTATATATAGATAGATCAATATCATCTTTAAGACTTAAAACAAGACTAACCTGAATAAAAAAAAGAAAATGCAGATAGAACACTATAATTCTCAGGTGACGAAATATTATAAAATAAAATCAAATTTCTTTTAGTAAATAAAAAAAAATTAAAATAAGAAAAATTAATAATTTCATTGATTTTTTTCCTCTCGATTTTTACGACCACCATCCCTGTCGATTGCTCCCCTTAACCATGACTTAAGTCATTTTCCAAAAGATTTAAAAGAAACATTGCCAATTCTTTTGAGAGACGAAAAAGTCTAACAAAAAGTTTATCGGATAAATCGTTAACTATATATAGCATAAACAAAAAATAATTTTTATGTCATAGAAAACCATCGAAAAAGTATGCGACATTTAAAAACGAATGCCTAATTCCGCTCGCATGCGAGTGGTTTACTGCAGTAAACCACTCGCAATTGGTGCGCATACGTAGCCATTGTGAGCGGTGAAGAATACGAAATACACGTCTCGAATGCAATGTCGTATACGTTAATAAAATTCGAGCGCTCGAGGATAGCAAAATACAAAAAATAATAAAGTCTATTCTATTTTTGGATTTAATTTACAAACACGAATATATTTCAAGGTAAAGGAGAGGTAAAGGAGTAATAAACCCAGGGATGTTTGCAGATGATGGGAAATTTTGCTTTGTTGAAAGAAACGGCTCCGGGGTACTAAAATATTTATAATATAATTAAGGGTTTAGTATAATACTAAAACCAAATATTTTGGGTCCTCTTTAAGAATCCCAAACTTAAATGCAGTGCATCCATGGTTCTTTCATTTTCATTTTCCCAGATGTTTGCCATTTTGCCCCATAGATTTTCTATGGGATTTAAGTCTGGGAAAATACTTATTATGGCATATTGACAATATAGTGGTTTTCGTCAAACCAGGATTGCACCACTCGAGCCCGATGAATGGGGGCATTATCTAAGTCAATACTTTTCTCCAGTTGTTTTTCCTGGAAGTATAACAAGTTCACTGGGACCATCGGCGCTCGTCCATCCCCACATGTTTACATGAATCCTGCCAGGATCTTGAGTTTTTATCGTGTGGCTTTGATCGTATCGGGTGCTATTGCTTCTCCACGAGTGAACTCTTCAATCTTCAATCTGCGACGATTTAAATGTATTTAGAATTATTATAATAATTCGGACATTTAGCAGTCAATACGAAAATGTCAAAAGTTATAAAAAGTTGAACAGTTTTTGAGATATAATATTTTTTTTTACTCCTATT